ATTATAATATCTCAAGTAAGTTTATGTATATTTGATATATTTCATTTAATTATCTTCTATTTTATTATCTTCTATATATTATACATTATTAATATTCACTGTCTTGAAATAATATTAATAATTTAGTATTTTATATTTACTATTTACCATTTGCGGTATTGTATGTAATACAAATTATTCACAATTAATTATTCTCTACCTCTGGATCACTATTGCTACTTATTTACTATTTACTAACAACCAATACCACCATAACAATGAAAAATTTACATAAAAATTGTATAATACGAAGTAAAATGTTAATTCCTGTTTAAAAAATTGAAGAAATTAAAAAATTCCGCGGTTGAGCCATTTGAGAACATTTAAAAAGACCGCCACGGAAGATCAATACGGCGATAGTAGCGCCAGAACCGCTCCAACCAGTTGACCTAATAATAACACCAGTCATACGGCCTGTAATTCGTTTTGTGCTCGATACGAGTGTCTCGTCTATATATACCGTGCACGTGAAACCGTGAATACATAAGGTTTAAGATAACGAAGACGTGTACAGTAAAAGCAACGTGAATCGTGAAGCCCATCGTACGAATGTCACACGTCGCATCGCATGCATTTCTCGCAATCGAGTGACTGGCGCATGCGACGAGTAACAGCGCTACCTTAGCAACGGGAGAATGACCGCGATATTTCAAAGAAGCTAAGCGCAAAGAATTGCCGGCGTTGGTCAATTTCCGCAACTGCCACGTAAGCTTCGTACGATTCTCATGTACTGTCATATCAGATTATGCAATTTGACATATATTTCCTCTAACGAAGCGCGTTCAATTTGAAATTCAAATTTAGTGTCATATAAATTTTTAATTGACGTGTAATTAATATTCAACGATATATTACCGAATATTATATCTTTTCAAACTTGGCATACATTTATAATAATTATAGCAGTATAGAGAGATCGTTCTTATACATTTTCTAAGAATAATTTTTTTCAATGAAGAGCAATTAATATGTAACTAATATTTAATAACAAATTAACCAATTTAAGCTTTTAAGCTTTTAGTGAGAAAAAATGTTAAAGAATTTTTGTTTAATAACAACTAAGTGTATGGTGAATTTAAGAAGATATTAAAAAATAATTCTTTTTTTAAATAACAAACAATTATTTTTAAAACGTGTCAGAATATTCTTCTATTTATAAAATAATATATTATTATTATTAAAATTTGTCCATCTTAGTCGCTTAATAAATAAACTGTTTAATAATTATTTTTTCCAGATAATACAGGTTTCGTTAACCTCAAATTCCGAATAAGTAATTTTCGAAACATATATCTAATTTCGATGAAATAATTAACAAATATCCTTCCTCTATAGCAGTACAATTGATGAAACGATGGCATCATTACACCGACAAAAAACATCAGTCAGCAATTCTACTCCGTTGGAACGTAAATTAGTATAAAAAGTAGAACGATAATTGGCCAATCATTGACAGCGGAAGCAGCGATCAGTCATCGAATAAATATCCATGCTAGAACAATCAATTACAATTCATCGCGTTTTCACGGTTCGTGAGCGCGAGCGAGCGTACCGAAACCTAGTTCGAAATGATTTTCCGTTAGCTGATCAAATTGATCCTCGTTAACCTTGACATTTTACGCGGCACTCGCGGCGGGTTTATTTTAGAAAGGTAGAATAAAACGTGCCGCGAGAAACTCGCGAACCGAGCGAGCCCTCTGGTTACAGCGTTGCGCGTTAGCCTGAACCCACGGTGCACCATAGGCACCGCTAAGCAGCCAATATGTATGTATATGGCACAGTTGTCTAGATCGCAGGTGCACGTGTCTGTTATCTACAGGCACACTTTCCCGCAAGTCCGCCGTGTTCCTCGAAGAGGATGAAACTCAAATAAATCCTACGATTGCAGGTACTTTCACGCGGAGATCGGGACCTCTAGCGGACAGGATGAGACGTGGCTAGGTATCTAGGGAAGATTTGATCGATTCGAAAGCCGGGGAAACACTGATTTGCCGAATGATCATAAAAGCATTGTCCGCTCGAAGGGAGCTTCTGGTTTGCCCATATGGTACCTGGCTGAAGATTGCTTCCAGGAACTCGAAGCCGTTGGCGTCCGAGGCAAGTTTCGTAGTCGCTTTTACATCGGGTTTCTTTCCAGTCTATCGATCCGACCGGCAGCGATCACGTACGGTAGGAAACGTTTGAACGGTCGCGCAAAACTGACTAGCATTTCCAAGAATATCCGTTCCCATTGAATTACAATCGACGACCGTGAGAATTCTCGCGAGTGGCCAGATCGATGAGATCCCGAGAAGCCGTCGGTTCACGCCGGAGCAAGTCGACCCGTGTCCGTTTCGTGTAATTGCCTGAAACTTTCGACATCGCGTCGTTTAATTCGACGCTCCTGTATCGGATGACGATCCGTTCGAACGAGACACGTGCACCGCGGTATCGATAGATGGCGGTAATGTAACGGTAGCGATAATGCCGTCCGTAGCTGTAAACGATCGACGAGAGGGGTATTCATCCAGCAGATACAGCAGAGGATATACAAAGTGACTCGGTGTCATTACGGTACAAACAGGTCTTAACGAGCTACCTGCTGCAGACCAACGAGCCACCGTGGACGTCGTATTTCGTGAAGTATGCCGATGTCGTGAACGATCAGAGAGGGATGTCCCACTTCAATTGGCCGGTAGGCAGCAGCAATTACCACGTACTTAGAACCGGCTGCTTTCCATACATTAAATATCACTGCACCAAGAGGCCACGACAGGACCTCAGCGTCGAGGACAAATTTTTCAAGGCGATCAAGCTGCT